TTTTTTATAACTGGCTCTTTCAAATAATGATCTAACTCATACTTAACACTTGAACTTGAGTCTTCGGCAACGGCAATTGTCTCAACGTATGCATCAAATTCAGCCTCGTCATCAATAATAGCAGTTGTACCAATGGATGGAGCAGTAGGTTGTGCATATCTAAGTTTAATCTGTTGATAATCATTGAGCAAATCATAACACATGTCTTTGATTCTACTAACTTGTGCACTTGATTCTTCTCCATACAACTTAGGAAACCAGAAATTAAGTACAACCATCTTCTTCCTAGGATCCAAAACTGCAGCAACTCCCATCATATCATGAACACCACTCCAATCATTTTGAAATTTTTCCATCATTCTTGTGGCCATCATCTCAATAATTGAATTGGAGGACTTCTTCCATTCCTCTATTGCCAACTTAATCTTACAAATCTTAGGAAAGTACAAGTTGGCAGTTGGATATTTTGTACCAGAAATCAACTCAGTTACTTCATTAAATAATTTTAAGCACCCACAAACATCTTTAGCAAATTGCCATTGTGAATTAGTTGGAAGACAAGTGTACAAAGACTCACGTTGCTTCAACCGAATAAATACATCCTTGTACTCTATGGAAATATCAAGCATCTTATATGTGCTATTCCATCTTGTTGGACAATCTAGAGCTAACTTTCTAGTGCAAATAATTCTCAATTGTCTAGCGGTATCTTCAAATTTTTCATACCTTTTAGGTGTAGCACTCCAAAATCCTACACTATCCCGAATATTTTCTATGCCATCCTTAATCACTTGTAGCCCCTCCTGAACAATTAAATTTAGGATATGCGCACAACAACGCATATGTAACAAAGACCCATCCCTTATTAAACATTCCAACGACAACTTATCCTTAATTTTCCTAATCATTGAGTCATTTGTGCTACAATTATCTAAAGTAATCGTAGAAAGCTTTGAATCAATGTTCCAGTCCATTAAATAATTAACAAGTGCTTCAGTAAGTCTTTCACTAGTGTGAGGGGTTGGAACATAAATGAACATAACATAATATTTACAAAAAATAAGTCTTTCACTTATTGTCATTAAGAACCAAAAAAAAAGATACAATTAAGTTATAAAATATAAACATTGTTACCTCAAGATTCGACTCTGTAAAGTCCACGAGCCATCAATATAGTGAGCCGTAACCGCCATATACCCTTTTTTTTGTTGCTTGAAGTCCACATATCTGTGGTAATTGCCACTCTCCCTTCATGGTTATCTAACATCTTCATAGCACATTTTTTCTCAAAATCATAAACTTCCAATACCTCCTTCTTGATTGTGTTTCGAGTAGGAACTTTAAACAATGGTTGGAGAGAAACAAAGACTCTTCTAAGACCAATGTGATCCACAATTGATAGTGGATAATCGTGCATAATAATAGCTTCAGCAATCAACTTCTTCACATGTTCTGGATCATAAGTTCCAATTCCCAACTCTTGCTTTCCTTCTGAGATAGTCGGTAGGAGAAATGGTTGTCCTTTGTCATGGTTTCTAGTCTTGATCTTTTTTTGAATACAACTCAAGAGATGTCCTTTCAAGTGATTTGTTCCATTCTTTGAAGTGCCACTAAGTTGTTTTTTACACCAGATGCATTCAGCCTTATCTTTTCCATTCACTTTCATCTTTTTAAATTCTTGCCACACATTACTTCTAAGTTTCTTTGATACAGGTTCTAAAATTGTATCAATTTCTTCTTGTTGCCCAATATCAGGTTCAGGTGTCGGATTCGGATTAGAAGATACCTCCTGAGTTGGACATGTACTTTCTTGTGTAGGATTAGATGCTCCTTCTGGTTCCGGGGTTGTGTTCACTTGATCCATTTTACCTACTACAAACAACAAGAAATTTCATAAACAATTGTATAAAAGAAAATGAGACTTTAAGAAGGCACGAAAAAACATACCACCACAAGATTCATAATCACAAACACCTTAACATTCATACAAAGTTTAAAAAAGAAATTAAAATGATAAAAACTATTATTGATAAAAGCTATTATTAAAAGTAATGTTTTTACACGAGACAACATGGTTTTGTTTCAAATATGAAGTTATATCTCTCTTTTTCAACTGTCAAAGATTCACAGTCCAGCAGCAATGGGCTATGATTCGAGTGCGACGCGAGGAGATTCCACAGCTTTGCATTTGAAAACCGACTACCGCTTGACAGAATCCATTACAATCGCTTACCGCTTGACAGAAACCCGGTGCCATCTCAATTGCTAGACAACTTAAACTACCATTGGCCAGTTCACTATTACTTGTATAACTCAGATATATTTTGCCTCCTATAAGGTCTATCAATGTCTTATTCCTAGTGGTCATATTTACATTTCAAACGATGTCGTGTTCAATGAATACAAATCCGCTTATCATGAGTTGTTTTCCACCACTGCACCTACATCATCATCTTCTAATCACTCTCCTACACCTAGCTATTCTGTACCACTTAATCTCCATAACTAACCTATAAATCCTACTCCCATCACTACTATTCCAACTTCACCCACCCTCTGATACCCACAACACCCCTCCCTCAACACCTTCACACTCCTCCCCTTTGTCTTCTCAAACATCCTTAGTCTACCTATACAGACCTCAAACATCTCCCAAAATATATTTTCCCCCAACCTAAAACATCACCCAGTATTCCACCTCAAACTTCATCTAATCCCACCTTATCATCTACTCCAGTCCCTCAAAATATCACCACTACACCTCCACCTATTCTTCACCCTCAAAATACTCACTTTACGACTACTAGAGCAAAATTTGGCATTGTCATGCCTTGTATTCATCCTACCTTACTCCTAACACATTTAGAACCTACTAGTGTTAAACAAGCTCTCAAATGGTCCCACTAGGTTGCTGCTATGAAAGAAGAGTATAATGCTTTACTTAAAAAAAATACATGGACCCTTGTTGCACCTTCTTCCCATTGTCATTCAATTGAATGTAAGTGGGTTTTTAAGGTAAAAGAGAACCTTGATGGTACCATCAACAAGTATAAAGCACACTTGGTTGCAAAAGGGTTTCATCAACAAGCAGGTTTTGACTTTACTGAGACATTTTCACCAGTGGTAAAACCTATCACTGTTCGTACTGTTCTTACCATTGCAGGCACAAATAACTGGCCCATTCAGCAGATAGATGTTAATAATACTTTTCTCAATGGCATATTGGAGGAGAAGTGTATATGTAGCAGCGTCTTGGGTTTGAATCTAGTGATAAAACATTGGTCTGCAAGCTTAATAAGGCTCTTTATGGCCTAAAGCAGGCCCCTAGGACCTGGTTTGAGAGACTCAACTACAATATGGTTACACCACCAACAAATGTGATCCTAGCTTGTTCATGCTTAATTCTGGTTCACTTCATGCTTAATTTAGTTTAGAGATATGCCAATTTGATTTTTTTTTATTTTAAAAATACTCTTTTATTTTAAGAGCAATTTGGGATTTAAATCTAGTTCTGATTTGAAAAACAATCAGAAGATCCGCAAGAAGCAACATCCATTTGAACTCCATATGCATACACACTAAACTTATGAAAGGTTCAAACAATCTCAAAGTTTAATTATCTTCATCAAAATGATATCCACTTTCACTCGTGTGTGTGTGTGTGTATGATATGTAGCTTCCTCTTCCTTCTGTTGCAACGTCATCTTAACTAACCAAAAGTTGGTATTGATTGAGTGTGGGTTAAGGTAACTCAGCATGTTAACATTGGATCAGGATAGACAGTTGTAACTGAATCAAAGATTCAGTGTAACCACTCTTCGAAGGATTGAAGCAACATCATCTCAATTTTCTCTAATCTTACATGTTGCTAGAAGTTCCGCACTTCTACTAATGTTTATACAGGTAGGTGCATGTGGAAAGCCAAGAGAGAAACATGTGTATTGGAAAACCAAGTAAATTGACAATGTCGGTATATTTAACACAATAGAATAGAAGAAAAAAAGATGCCTTAATAATTAACACAAACAGGCACCATGTCGAGGCTGGTAGAAAAAAGGGCCTTAATTAATTAACACAAGCAGTTTATTAGGACCTACGCACAAACAGCTAAAATAAAAGCTTGCATTCAAATCCTATGTTGTAGCATCACTTGTTGCACTTTGCTCCACTGTCACAACCCTTATTTTGTTTCTTTCAATACTAACATCTCAGTGTGCAGTTCACTCACTTTAATCCATTACCATTTACCATATATTTAATTGATACTACAAGAATAACATTTCACAACATCATCAAACAGAACACATGCATACATTTGATAACAAACATAAAAAGCCCTCAAACTGAGATGACAAAATCAGATCATAACATGCAAAATGAGCTGAAAGGAGCAGCTGTATTGAACAGTGGTACATACCTTCTTGAAGAGTACTATCTCTAAAGCAACAACAAATGTCCTAATCCGAAGGAGGTGAAGTTAGAGTATGGAATAAAAACAGTAGCTGTTAATGCAACGAATAATGCTAATTATATATAATTACGAGCAAAGAACAGATAATAGATAATTCATACCAAAATAACATGGATACTATGTTCCTATAAATAAGAGAGAAAGACTAATGCCATTGTCTCAATCTCAAAGGATTTTAGAATCCTCACATGAATTAGTAGCACTTCTAATGAGTGATTTGAGTTATCAGTATAATATTGGTGGTTTAGCTTTTATAGAAGCTTCGAGAAAAGTTCTCGAGAATAAGCCACCATTTGATCCATTAATTTAAGTGTGAGCAATTATTTTCAGCCAAGCTTAAGACAATTTGAACAGAATAACCTATTTAATTTTAAACTATTTATTCTCTTTAATGCCTTGTTTAAATAATTCAGAGTTTTCAAACAACAATAACTTTGTTTCCAAGTTTAGTATTGTTCTGGTGAATGAAAACTCAAGAAATTCATTTCAATTCAACAGATGAGAAAGAACAAACACGGAAGTCGCTTCATTACCAATAAATATGTGTGTTGGCTACAATAAGAAACTGATGAGGGGGACCTTTGAATTTGAATGCAGCAAGAATTCTAACACAATCACGCTTTAGTCTCACACGAGGATCATTCAGATCTCCACGATCTTCTGTACCCGATTTAGGTCCTGCATCAAAAAACCAGTTAATGAAGTAGAATGCTCATAAGTCTGTACAAGTAACAGAAAAATCTCATTTTCTGTTCTAAAGCATTCAAAGAAGCAAAATATACTAGAGAGGAAAAAAAATAAAAGAAAATGTATCCAGGGAAGGAAAGCAAGAGTACAGCAGCAATATCAATGAAGTAACAGAAAGTAAGTTTTGATTTCGCAAGTTTATCAAAAAAGTATATAACACTACAAAAGTACAAGCTCAAGAATAATAAAGATGTGAAAATTCTTGTTACTAAGAATAGAATTATATATAATAAACAAAATCATTTTATTTCAATCTGCATTTACCAGTATTGGTCGCAACATCCTTTTGTTTATCTAGCTGGGTTGTTTTGACATTGTTGTGATGAATGAAAACTCAAGAAATAGTTCAACCATGAATGGAAAATGCATAACAAAGTTAACTCATTGTCTCTTTGTGATCAAGATCAAGATCAACATTTAACATTTTTCGTTAGAGTTATAAGAGAAGCCACACAATCACTATATCTATACTATATTTTGTGTAACTGTTTTTGTCTATGGAGCATTTTAAACAAAAGGGTCATCACATCATTGATTTCAAAGACGAAAAATGCATAACTCATTAACAGCCAACGAGAAGCTCTGACAATTTGAGTTTTCAAACACACTAAAACAAGCTTATACATACAAAATAGCAGAGAAGATCAAATTTAAGTTTGCAGTTAAAATGTATCCTCATCAAAAATCGCAGTGGCTTACAATGTCTTGGGCAGAAGACTGAGACGGAAATCGACATAGGATGTAAATTGCTAAACAAACAAATTACCTTAAAATTGATGTTTGAGTTAGAACCAAGGACAAGTACCTTTGGAGAATGGCGAGAAGAGGATTGTATGAAGAAGATGACGGAGGAGTTTGTAGGCGCCGATGAAGAGGCGAAGGAGACGGAGAAACGAACTAACAAAGGTGACGGTCTGACGGAGGTGACGAAGGTGACGGAGGTGACGGAGGTGACGATGGCGGTGGCCGGTGGGTGAACTGAAGTGAGCGTGAACGCGTGATGTACTGAACAATAAACCCTACATTTTATTTTTAATTATTGAAATATATATATATATATTTAGGGATAGTTTTGTAATTTAACATATAAGCGGGTGCAGTTTCGGGTTTCGGGTGCGGGTTTAAGCTATCCCAAACCCACACCCGAAATATCGGGTGGCATCCGAACCCGAACCCAAACCCAGTCAATTCGGGTTTCACCCGTTGACTCGGGTGCGGGTGCGGGTGGGGCCCGCGGGTTTGGGTTTGCTTGCCATCCCTAGCTCAAACGAAACTTGTGAGAGGCAAAGTCTTCAAGAGGCCCTTGGTGCAAGTGGATTCGAAGGAAGTACCTAAGTTGCATTCGAAGGAGGCCAAGAGTCAATCGAAGGGTGCTGAATCGAAGGAGACCTCTTTTCCTCCAAATTTGTCAAAATCTTATTTTTATCTATTTTCTCCCTTTTTGACAGTTTCCTTTTAATTTTGGTATTGGAAAATCCCAATGCACTTGTTCAAGCTTGAACCTTGAAAATCCTTGTGAGAAAGGCCTTGAAGAATGAGAGGGCAAATTTTGGGGTACAACAGTAGGTCCTAGAAGTCCATTAGGAACACCCCCACCAAGGGCAAATCCAGGATCTCGACCGTACGCTCCCCCAAGATTTTCGACAGCCTGGATGGGTCGAGAACAGCCGTATGGCATGCCAACCACTGAAATGGCTAGCCTTATGAATGTTGCGTCTACATTTTCAGAACCTTTGGTGGGTACGTCTTCACCATTACAAGGATCTGGAGCCAGTATGGTAAATTGGGGTAGAAACCAACCTTTAGGAGGGCCATCACATGCAATACCAAGCCTCACAAATGCTTCTACAGCAATTTTGAGGCAACAGATGGATGAAAGCAACCATGATATGGTGCAAATGCTGGCATAAACTCTAAGTACAATGCTGAACCCCCTAATACAAAATACTACCCAGTCGAATCAACAAATGGCAGCGCAAATGAGGTGCATGGCTGAATTTTTTGGGGTTCCTCAAACTATTAGACAACCCCAAAGAATACCAATAAGAGTGAACCAAGGGATAATCTTGGAGGAAGACTTAACCATTAACCAAAATCCACAGATCCCTAGAGTAGAAATAGAACAACCTAAGATCGAAATACCTCGAAATCTCCCACAGATCCCTAGAGAAGTCGATCAAGGAGTGATTATGGTGAATAGAAACCAAAATGCTGATGAATTGATACAGCAAGTTCGACACCAAAATTATGGAACAGATAATAATCTGACTGCCATAATCGAAAGAATCATGATACAGAATGGGATGAACATTGGTTTTCACATACCAAACTTCACATCCCCATTGTCAGAATATATTTTGCAAACAGATTTACCCCTAGGTGAAAAGTCCCTAAGTTTATTAAATTTTCAGGGGATACGATAGAGTCTACTGTCGAACATGTGGCAATATATTTGATAGAAGCCGGGGAAATAGTAAACAACGAGAACCTTAGGATTAAACATTTCCCAAGTTCTCTAACGAAAAACGCTTTTACTTGGTTCACTACCCTCCCAGCCAATTCGATCCATAATTGGAATCAATTGGAAAGGTTGTTCCATGAACAATTTTACATGGGACAGACCAAAATAAGTTTGAAAGAATTGGCTAGTGTGAAAAAGAGATTCACTGAGCCAATAGATGAGTATCTGAATAGGTTTCGACTGCTTAAAGCCAGGTGCTTTACACAAGTGCTTGAACATGAATTAGTCGAAATGGAAGCAAGGGGCCTAGATTATTCCGTTAGGAAAAAATTAGATACCCAATACTTGAGAGACATGGCCCAGTTGGCCGATAGAGTTCGACAAGTAGAACGCCTTAAAGCCGAAAAGGCTAAAGCGACCAAGACTCATCGAAGAGAAAGAGTAGCCTATGTCGAAATGGATGATGATGATCCAGATACATCTAGTGATCCTATAGATGTCGAAGAAGACGAAATAGACTTAGCAGAATTAAAACAAGGGCCGTCATACTCTTGCAAATTACTAGTGCCCTCAAATGGGAAGAATCTTGTTAAGTCCGAAAGGAACAGTGACAGATTCCCAAAGAAAACATATAGTTTCGACATCACTAAATGTGATGAAATATTTGATTTATTAGTCAAAGATGGCCAAATGATAGTGCCCCCTGGGGCAAAAATGCCTCCTTCAGAACAAAGAAAGAAAAGTGGTTTTTGTAAATATCACAATTTTCTGGGCCATAAAACCTCACAATGTTTTCTTTTCAGGGATCTTTTTCAAGAAGCACTTAAAGAAGGAAGGCTCAAGTTCACTGATAAGCCGACAATGAAAATTGATGCGAACCCTCTACAAATGGATGCACATTATGCTGAACCAGTTGGCATCCATATGGTTGAATTTTCTGAGGACTTCATCAACAAGCCTGTATTTGGCAATTTTACTGGAAACATATCTAGGAAAACTGTCGAAGGGGTGAGGAAGGCTACTGAAGGCCTGAACAAAGGAGCTACTGAAGGCTCAAGTAAAAGAGATACTGAAAGCTCAAACAAAGGAGCTGCTGAAAGCTCAAACAAGAGGACCATTACAGGTTCTTACATGGCTGCCATCAAGGGTTCGACAAAAAACTTGGAAGCCAAGATGCAAAAACTGAACCTCGTTACCAAGAGCAATGTGGAGGTAAACATGGTCGAGGTATCTGAGGCCAAGGCTTCGGAGGAGGCCATTCGACAAGAGGAAGTGAACAAGACAGCATTTCCAAAAGAAAACGAGAATCTGGCAGAATTTTTACATCGATGCCAGAAGAAAAAGTTTGAAGTGATGTTGTGTCCCAGATGTTCCATTTTCGAAAAGAAGGCTGCGGAGCACATACAAGATGTGAGAGCAGCAAAGGCAAAATGGGGCACCAATGCTCAGCCAAATATGGATCCAGAAGTTAGATATGATCCCAGGAGGGGATATCAAAAGGGACCCATGAACCAAGTGAGGAGGCCACCAACTTTTCAGCCTCCAACTAATGTACCTATGGATACTTGGCTCAATACAGTGGGCATAAAAAGGCCCAATGAAGAAAAATGGAGAACGTTTGACGTGCCAAGGGGCTCTTCTTTGGATTACAGGAAAGAGTTCCAGACTACTACAACGAATAAAGTGACTCACATATCAAGCAATTACAAGGGGAAGAACCCCATGTCTCACTCCCAATGGCGAAGGTTTCAAAGACGGCTGAAAGCCGAGAAAGAGGCTGCAGCAGAGCCTCACCTAGAATCTAGCACCAACGTGCCAAGAAAAGAAAAAGGAAAGCAAAGGAAACCTCTAGAGAGGGAACCAATTGCTAGAAGACTGGTGTGGCCAGAACAAGGTGAGTCGAATGACAAAGGTAATTCTGACTCAGACGATACTTTAGATATTATGGTAAACGTAATATCAGTGCTGCCTAGGGAGTACAACCGTCAGGTCGAAGTTGAAGAAACCGACTTGATGGTCGAACAAGAAATGGCCAGACATAGGCCAATATATTACTACATGATGAATAATGGTTGTGTTGAGGAGCATAATGCTTTCTTTGAGCCACCTACTGAGGCGATGAAAAATCACCTCAAGCCTCTATTTATTAGAGCAAAGATAAGGGAAGTGACCATAAATAAAATCTTGGTTGATTGTGGGGCGACCATAAATATAATTCCACAATCTATACTAAGGAAAGTAGGAAAAGGGGATGATGATATTAAGCCCCACAACATGGTTCTCTCAAATTATGAAGGGGGTATTGGAACCACCATGGGAGTTATACAACTGGATCTCAAGGTGGGCTCAATTCTTCGACCTACCATGTTTATGGTAATTTCAGCAAAACCCAATTATAATATGCTTTTAGGTCGAGAGTGGATACATGGCATAGGTTCAGTGCCATCTTCGATGCATCAGAGGGTTACAATATGGCGCCCTGGTGGTATCGTAAAGAACATCGAGGTTGATCAAAGTTACTACCTAAGCGAAGTTAACAACATTGGAAAAAAATAGCTTCGATAGGAACTTGGCTCATATAGGGCCATGCAGCCCTCCTAACTTCGATCTGGCTCCAGCGCCCAATGCTTTTTGTTCTCTTTATCTACACTCTGATCATGGTTTTCAGTGGGATAGAGAGGATTTATCAAACATCGACTATGGAGGGGTTGATGACATACGGCTAACAGGTTGGGGGAGTGAGTTTGGTGATGATGATTGAATCACAGGCTCTACAAAGGATTTCGGCATATGTAGCCGAAAATAGAATGATAGCAGCCTTAGAGGTTGAAGTCAAATATATGGCTCTTGAAGCTAATGAACATGTATCTTTCCAAGAAGGCCCTGGGAAGGATTTCGACCCAGAACCTCCTGACTCGGAAGAGAAAGAAGTACGAAACCAGAGGTTAGACGCCATCTATGATGATGAGCCTCTAGGTTTTGAAAAAGATCCGTTGGCGAACAGTGTTAGAATGCTAGCACAAGACCCCTTAGAATAAATAAACCTAGGTGAAGGTCCTGTAAAAAAGACAAAATATATTAGTGCAAAGATAGATCCAGAACTCAGGGTCGAAATGATCCAATTGTTAAAAGAGTTCAGAGATTGCTTTGCATGGGATTATGACGAAATGCCTGGTCTCGACAGAAGCTTGGTGGAACTACAATTGCCAACAAAACCTGGAAAGAAGCCTGTCAAGCAAACTCCAAGGCGCTTTGCACCAGAGATTATGTCGAAA